TCTCTTCATATGTTATTTAATAGAAATATTTACATGCGCCGATCGTTTTAGGAGAGAGAAAGTTACACTGTCCTCTTGGAAAGCCAAAAATTATAACTATAAAATAGCGTATATTTATTTCATCAAAGATAAAATGAGATAAATAATACATTTCAGGCAGACTGGAGAAAGTTTGAGCTGGAGACGTGGGATGCTACGTTCAATTCTAATTTTGAGACGTTCGGTTTAATTAAAAAGAAAAAAAAAGAATAAAATTTTATAGATAGTGTCCTTTTTTCATCTGTCTCCCTTTTTCTTTGTCTTTCTCTCGTATCTTTCTGGCCACGAGAAGAGCTACGTTCGACAGCGCGTTCGTTAGCGGAGCGTAAACGCGTCGATTCTGCGCGATTACACGGTTGAAAGATTTACCACCGGACTATAACTTATCCGGTTTAATTATGCCCGACTTTACGGTTCGCCAAGTGCCACATCACGATACACAAGTCGTGAACGTTAATTACAACGAATTGGTTCGTAACGAACACAAGCTCTGCAATTAATATTCATCTCTGAAAAGTCGGTAAATCATGGCCTCAAACATTAAGATCGCGTAGATTGGGGGTCCAATTGCACCGACGGGGACAATTTTATCACGCAATATGTATAGTTGCGTATACAGTTAAGAGACAGATTGGAAAAATTAATTTTCACGCTCGGTTTTCGCGTATTTTTTCGCGTTACTCACTCGTTAATTTGCTCGACACGAAACGATTAAAAAATCTCTCTCTCTCTCTCTCTCTTTCTCTCTCTCTCTCTGTTTAAAAATAGGCTAATTCCATTTCATTCTCTTTAAAATACGACCAGAGTATATCCTTCATTGAAATACTATATTTACAACTTCTGATTCAGTTGAAAGTATAGCACTTCAATCAGTAAAATCACGCTGAAAAAGTCAGCAGTTAATAATAAACTAAGAAGAAAAAAGTCGGTCTAACTAAAATTATAGTTATTTTTCCAACCATATTTTCTGTAAAGCAAAATGGTAGTAGTAACATGTATAAGCTTATTATCATTAACATCATAGTAGAATTCAATAAAAAAATAATTTTCTTCATCATAATTTGTGACAATTATTTTTCTATATGACTGTAGTTGCAAATACCAAACTTTTTCTCTCAGTGTAGCGACTATTATTGAATTATTGATACATTTTGAATACAAACAATGTCATTGCGCGCAAGGCGCATGGAAGCCATTGATTTTATTGTCACAAATCCAGAAAAAAATTGAATCTGATGTGAAAATCAGTGAGATATAAGATGGAGTAGTACGTAAAAGAAACGTTTTCACTGAAAATCTCATTGATAATTAACGAAACAGTTTTTTTTTTGCCGATTCAATTAGGAACATTATGACCGATTCACGTTAAAAAGAGTTGATTGTAACGTATTACGTTACAATGAACGATCGCCAAGTTTAACGCAATGTGCATCGATCTACGGGACTTCCCTTCATAATGCGCCGCGTAAATTACAAGTGCGCATTGGCAGAAAAAGAAAACATACGCGTTGCACAAGAAAAACATATTACTATAATTGTGCACAACGTACATATACAATTACACGAACGTACTGACTACCGTGATTAGTCTAATGTAGGCCATCTCACTCTGCAACCGTCTTCGTAATTGCTAGAAATGTGCAAGTTAATCTTTGCTTGATCTGAGGATAATTAGAATTTCCACGAGGTATCGTGTACTTGAAAACCAAGACGGTACGTCGATCTGTTCGCGCTTAAGAGAGAATCCTCATCGATTCAATCCTTGTTGAATGCAAACTAATTCGGATTTTAATCAAATTTTAATTCCTCAAAATTCCTGACACGCGTATGTGTGTTTACCCTCCAAAATGTTCTTTTTGTGACTGAGAAACAAATCAACATTCTGCAATAAATTATTATCTTTTTTATTTACCTGTGAAAGAGAGAGAAAGCGAGAGAGAGAAAGATAGAGAGAAAGAGAGAGAGAGAAAACATCTAAAAAATAAGAAATATTTATTCGATGCTAATAACATATTTACTTGCACTAATATGCATATTTTTACATTGAGAAAATATTATTTTCAAATGAGAAAAAATATATTTTCATAAAATTATTGCTTTTCGAGAAATCACAATCGCTTACTTATTCTACCCAAACAAAAGAATTTATATTTATTGTTTTTTCTTTCTCTGTTTCTTTCTTTTTAGTGATTAGAAAGCGTAGAGAGGAACTTCGAATCCTTGAATTCTCGAATTCTGAGATCATTGAATCGTGTCGTTGTGTAGCTACAATACGGCGTTAATTATGTAAATTTCGTCGGACCATCCGGTGCCGGGTCACTGAGGGGGAGGTCTTAGATTGTCGAATTCCAGAGAGACATATCGTTCATTAAAAATTCTCATGAATTTTAAATTCCCAATATCTCTGACTCTTGAGAGTGCCGGATCGGGCATCTAATCGAAGACACGGAGTCGTTGGTGCGCGTAGCGATGTCACGATGTTCTACGACGCGGAACGAGCGTGTCTGACTAATTAGCGACACTAACTACTTGGGCTTTATTTAGCCTACGTCTGCGAGCGTTTCTTCCTCGCGTGACGCGTATTACCGTAGATCTTTTTCATCGGAGATTTCCGGGTCGAAAATTTGCCCATTTTTCGGTCTCCACTTAGTGCAAACTTCACAAAGTTAAGATACATTTTGTTGTGCATGATAACATTAATAAAACAAAATTTAAATACAAGTGTAATAGCCAATATTTGTTTCCTCAACTACGAGTTTCGGCGCGATTGCTGAACAAATTGCTTTATTCTCTTCCTTTCGAAATAATTCGCGACAAGCAATTGAAACTGGTTTCTTAGGCAGAAAAATGGGAAAACATTGTTACATCCGCTGTCTTATCGTAGATCAATCGAGCAAATGCGCGATGCGTGACCTGCACGTGCCATTGAACGTGAACGTTTTCAACCGGAAGTATCCGGGAAGTTTTCTCGAATCGCAAATAGAAATTCCTTTCCGTCTTTACGTCAAAGATACGAGATGAAAGCAAGGGACAGGCCATGATTAATCATACACAGAAAAAAATATTCTTAGATTTAGAAAACATCATTATTTTTTACTGTTAATCTTCAAATGTGATTATGCAGCGTTAAACAAAGGTAAGTTACTTGCAAGAATATATTTTGATGGTATATGAATATATTTTGTATGATTTTTGACAAAAAGATAAACCTATGTTCTTATTATTGGAAAAATAATGTTGATGGAAAGCAAAAAAATTCGATTTAGAATGTTTTTAAATGTATATTATGCCCCAACTTTCCCTGTCCACTTAAAACTAATCAACAATAATTATTTTATATATAAAACAATTATTATATCATATATAGGCAGCGATATATAATTTGGAAGAGTTGGTATAGTCTCGAATTTTTATAATGTTATAATTTTATTTAAATATTAGTTTCATAAGCAAATACGATTTGATTATTTTGATAATAATGATATCTTCTTCTGATATTTAAAACCATTATATTCTCGATCCAATATTTTGTGCTTTCCATTGATGAAAATTATTTTTGAATAATAAGAATACAGGTTTTCCTTCGTTGAATCATATAAAATGTATTCTTGCAAGTGATTTATCTTCATTTAATATCATGTAATCTCATTTGATGAGAAGATTAACACATCAAAAATAAGATTATCATCCGAAGAAGAGTGTCCTTTTCTCCTGTGTAGAAAATTATAAAATGAAGTTATCGCTCGTCAGTTAAGTGACCTAACCTGTCGTGCCATAATATGCGGGTGTTACTTTATCATCTGTCCTTGTCTACACAATTTATTATTATTTTTCTAATACGATAAATATCTCAAGACCGACTTGATCCGAAAGAAACTCCTTTGTTCATGGATTCAGTTCCAAATATCGAAACACGTTCTTAATTAGATGCAAGGAGGCTGCGCTCGCAGGTGGTAAAGAAATTGAAATGGCTTAATTCACTTAACAAGAATGCGAACAATAAGGTACCGTTCGACTATTAGAAAGTTACTTTTACATGCTACTGCGGAACACTCCGCCATCCTCGTGACAAGCGTTAACTCATACTAATCGTCTCCCACGTAACGCCTATCGATGAGCCCCCCGGTTTTGCCAACGTCAGTCGCGTTCTTCCGGTGAAAGAAACAATTTCCCTCATTTTCCCGAGCAAAATTGCCCCGTGAAGAAAATACGTGAACATTATCTGTGACACACAATATCTCATTTCTGCGAAACAAACTTTTATCTCATAAATAAGTTTTCGAGTATTTTCTTATCGGTGTGTCAAATCGTCTTCTGCACTGAGAAAGAAATACTTGAAAATTTGTCTATAGGACAAAAAGTTTGTTCTACAAAAACAGACTTCATTTCAGTTTAGTTTGTTCTACAAAAACAGACTTTATTTCACAGAAATGAACTTCGTGTTTCATAGAATTAAATTTTATATCTCACAAATAAATGTTCAAGTATCTCAGTATCTTCTCAGTGTAAACAACTTCAAATTAACTTAAATTTGTCCGAAAATTAACTTCAAATTAACTTAAATTTGCCCGAAAATTAACTTCAATGAGAATTCTAACAGAAAAGAAATTAGTGCTCCGAAAGGAGTGTAGTTTTTTTTATCGCGATTCCACGGTTAAAATGATTCAACCCTTACCTCAGCCAGCCGACTGTCACCATTTCTGTCACTCTTCCAATGACACTTCTTCCTCTGTCAGTGCGCGTGCTCTCGCTCTTATAATCGCGTGTCTCTTTCCGCGCACGTTGCGTCCTTCTCTCTCTATCTCTCCTCTCCTCTCTGTTTTTCTCTTTCTACGCTGTCGCTTTCGGTGCGGACACGAAGATGTAATTTGACGGAAAGTCTCCCGCTCGAGCCCTTAATCTCGGATGTTGTACCGATCGCGGTGCTGCATCAACATCGAGAAGCAGCGCGTATCTCCGGCGACTCTCCGGCGGATACTGAGGCTCTCGCACGCCGTGACAGCCTCTTCGCACAACCACGCGGCGAGTGAAAGCGAGAGGTGCCTCCGCCACCGACACCGCCATCGCCGTCGCCACCACCGCCACCTCCGCGTTAAACTGCCGAGAAAAGAGAGAGACAGTGGAAAGAGAGAGAAAGAGAAAGAGAGAGAGATCGAAATACGCGAGCGTATTTGAACGACGGAAAAGAGAAATCGACGCGTTAAAATCACCGCATCGTTTGAGAAAGAAGATACGGCAAGTGCGGTTGTGTGTGAGAGAGAGAGAGAGAAATCCAGTGCTTCAGCGCGTCTCAAAATTGCCGCAACGCGCGCGGCCAACGAGGAAGAAGAGAATTCGGCATAGAGACTAGTAGGGCTGACTACTTATGCAAAGAACATACAGCAAGCAGTAACGATAATGATGGTTGCCGGTCCGCCTGTTATACACGGACTAGTTTATACTCGTGATAAACGCGATAACGAGGGCCACAGTCCTCCCTTACGTTGTTCGTGATTTCATAAGCATCCCTGCGCGAATAGCCCGCGTTGGATTTGGGCGCAAGACGCGAAGCTGTGGTTAGTCCGACCCCGATAAATTGAATTTATGAATGCGAACGAAGCGAGCGTAGAGGTAATCGTCAAGCCTATCTTCACATTGCTCACCGTGTAATCGTGTAAAATCGATACCGCGGGTTCACGTCCCGGAAATCAGAATTATTTATGATGCCAAAGGGTCTCGTTATAAGTTACATCCCTTCGAGGATCACGGCAGGTCTCGACGTTATTCCTTATCAGAGATCCCGGAATTAATGGAAGTTCTCTCTATGTGTTGGCCTTTGAGACAAAGCAGATTTCTGTTTGTTGCAAGTCTTTATTATATAGTTATTTACACACAGAAAAATATCATTCTATCGCCAGGGAAAACGATTACTCAGTTTACTTTCATGTTTGTAAGTAAAAGGTTATCTTCAACAAAGAATATTCTCTTCATAATTGTCTTAAAACATATTCGTCGTGAGTTTGGCAAAAGCTCATTGTCATGTACTTAAAGGAAGAATTTATTGCATACTCTTTGCAAGGATGTTATGAAACTTTATCCAAGAGAAAATTCTGGCTTGTTTTTATGTAGTAAGCAAACCAAATTTCCTCTTGCATTCAATATTATTGATTAAAATGTTGAATTTATTGAAATATATTTTAAATAAATTTGATATTTATGATGCAGCATTGGAAGATTTGCGAATATATAAACTTATGAAATATTTTAAACAAGCAACATTCATTTCTATGCAATGTATATTTCTCTGTATGTACAAAAATAAGCTACTTTACAATTCATGCAACTTTAGGTAACAAATAAAGTCTCGCTGAGATGCGCATAGGTGATTCGCGCATTTGCAAATCGTGGATAGCAACACCCGAGGCCGTCGAAAACGACAGCGAATTCGAATTCCGCGTAGCTAATTGACAACACTTAATTCACTTAGTTGCGAATAACAGCCCGAAGGTTCCCTCGAAAAACCCGAAGTCCTCGATCGTTACGTTTTATGAGACGATCCTCAGGGTCGTCATGTAAACATCTTCGGACTTCCTCTATTTACGTAACCGACAGATAAGAGAACCTGTTGGCGCACATCTCGCGGCAACACATGTTCTCGTCACAGTGGTCGTTGTTCCGAAATTTCTTCGACGCAGTTGAAGCACGAGATTAGACGAAGAGATAGAAGGGCCGAGAGAACGACGCTGACCATACGCGGTGCTGATGATTTGAGGAGCGGCGAGGGTCGCGGTGTTTGCGATTATTAAAGATCACAAAAGTTCTCGGAAAGGACGAGCGCAGGGATGTAATGAGCGCGGCGTGGAAAGGCGCGTCGTAAATGCCGTCAAGGAAAAACCGATCGATGGCCGCAACGGTATCGGGAACATCGGACGGATATTCCCGACATAATACCCGCCATTTTTACGCGCGAGTGTCGCGGAATTAGAATCGTTGACATCATCTTTGTACGAGACAGATGAATAGATAGAGGAGGGAACAGAGAGCGTCTAAGTTATCGCGCTATGCTTGTCGCGGCAGTCGCTAATAGTTCGTGAAGGTGTAAAACACTGTAGATTAAAATTGCCGTGCAATTTCGATGATATCAAAGGAAATTAGCAAACGCCACTGTGTAATGGGATATTAATTAATTACGTCAATTTCGCACATGCGGTTTGTTTGCGTACGCACAGAAAAGTATCATCTTACTACTGGGAAAAACAGTTGCACAGTTTATTTTTCTTCCTTAAAGCAATGATTATCTTTAACAAAGAATATTTTCTTGATAATAGTCTTAAAATCGCCGTAATTATGCAAGAATGATTCATGAAGTACGTCTCGAGAAAAATAAAGATAAAAATTTGATACACGATTGAAGAAAATATAGATGGTACTGAGATTCTTTGTAATCATTCAACAAAACAAATACGATCAATTTTTTTCTCTTTAAGGACATTTATTGACAAGCTTAATTCTTCAAAAAATGGGTAAAAAAGACAACTAAAAAAATTAAAATTATTCCCTAATTAATTTTAGGCTATAAAGATTAGATTTCTTTTTGGTTTTATGTAGAAAGGTGTTTAGATTATTATCCATTGGTAACACACAAAAAGATCATAATATTGTGATCATTCTTGCATAATTATAGCCAGATCGCAAATTTTAGAAAAGCTCGTTATCATGTACTAAAAAAAAATTATTCTCTTTGGAAGAAATTATAAAACTTTATCGAAGGAAAAGTTACTTCAACTGTATGTAGCGAGCAAACATAATTTTTGTTAATTAATGTAGGGCATATAAGAGTTTGGAGTACGAATTATTGTGCCCAAGAAATACAAATTTAATAAACAGTCAATTCATACTGTATATACACGTAAGTTTTACGCAAACGTTTCGACTCTATTTGAGTCTTCTTAAGTACAAATAAATAATTATAATGCAAACACTTATTAGTTATATATATAAAAGTTCAATCATATATGATAATATAAGGCGGAAAATACATATCGCATAATCTTCAGAAGACGGGAGGACACGCAATGTAATGTCTGTATTGTTTAAATTTCCAACCTGATACATTACGAACAACACTATCGAACAGGCTCACTCAACATTCGCCAATAGTCAATAACTAATGAGTCAATATGATTAATGAGTATTTGCGTGACGATTATTTATTTGCATTGAAAAGGACTCTAGTCGAGAAACGTTTGCTTAAAACTTACGTGTATATACAGTATGAACTATAAATTGACTGTTTATTAAATTTGTAATTCTTGACACAATAAAGATCCAGGATCTTGTATGCCCTACATTAATTAATTAGATTTTTAATCGCAGAGCCTTTAATTAATCAATAATTAATCGATAATTTTTGTTTTAATTTAATATTTTTTAATGAAATACTTATTAGGAATTTTGAGTAAATTTAATGCTTATGATGAATTTTTATAGTCAAGTTTGCAAATAATAAACTTATAAAATATGTGAAATAAGTAATAGCGAATTCGATTGGAAGCACTAGTGCGCACCAGTGCACATTAAGGCCGTTTCACAGTCCGTTCTTATATTTATGTTTATCATAAATTCGCCTCTGAATACTCTGTAATTAATGTAACAATTTGTACGGCACATCTAAAGATAAAACGATTTTAAATATAAGATAAAACTCTATAATCATAGTTAAAATATCAAAATAGACTATGAATTATAGCCTTAGTGCGTTAAGGCTAAAAAAGTATTAGTACTTTTAATCGAATTCGCTATAAGACTTATTTGAACGCAATATATTTTTCTGTGCGTACTGAATCATCAAAGACAACGTGACTTCAAGCTAATTGATGATTGATTGCTGATTTCTTTCTGACTGGTTCGTGATTGATCACTCGCATGTTGTATGAAACGGCTGTCGTTTTTCGGCGACCAGCGCGACTCTCTGTGAAACGCACTTTCGATAATTGATTAATTTCCGTTAATGTTTATTAATTCGCAGCTGAATCTTCTCTCTTTCTCTCTTTCTCTCTCTCTCTCTCTCTCTCTCTCTCTCTCTCTCTCTCTCTCTCTCTCTCTCTCTCTCT